TGATGATTTGGCTAAATGAGCTGCTTGCATTAACAAAAGATGTAGTTATGCAAACGGAAGCTACTCCGGCTTTAACTCAATAACGACATCCATACAATAAATATATAAAAATAAATTTTATTTTAAGATATATATTTTTAAATTCCTAGTAACTGTTGAAGTTACCAATTATAGCTATCATTGGAAAAAAAAAATATCAGATTTACAAGCACTTGGTTATCTCGTACAAGGACAAATGATTTAAATCCTGTCGTCGAAGTAAGAAAGACAAAGTATAGAATAAGAGATGCAATACAGACACAATACATAGCAAGATAGAAAAATATAATATATGCAAAAATAATTTATGTATAGGAATACAAGCAAAACGTGTGTAAGACAGAATAACTTAAAAACAATCTATGCCATTCCTGAACTACACTTAGAAAAGTGAAAATATGTCTATCTTATATGTACATTTACGACACTATCTATAGCCGCCATCGTCAAGTTTAAGCACATTATATATCCATATATTTATATTTATTATTTATAAAATTTGTGACCGACTTATCATTTTTATATGTAAAATATTTGTTGCTTTGGTAGCATAACAAAAACGTTATTTTTTTTAATGAGAAGCTTGTAATTCATTTTTTTTAGTGTATGGTTGCATGTGTCAAACGGTTGACCCTATAGCTGTCATGTTCACGTTCGCCTTGGCTTTCTGCCAAAATTGCAGGCGCGCATATTGCTTAGTATATATAGATATAAATGTATCTAAATCTGTTTATAAGTATTTATGTTGAATATTTGTTTGTTTTCAAATTAATCGATGGGACGAGCATGATAGACGGACGGTTAAGTCACTTAATCGAGCAAAAATGATGTTTGGATAACGAGTAAAATTATAAAAAACAAGTGATATAAAATATTAAAATTTAGTAAATGTTTCCCCTCTTTCTTTTATATTAAGAATAAATATTAAATAATCAATAATTTATTATAAAATACATGCTTATTGCGGTTAATATTAACTGTTGTTAAAAAGATGTATTATAAAACAATATTAAGCATTATATTAATATATAAATAAGTCTTAATAAATTAAACTAATGAATTTGATAAAAAAAATGCAAATAAAATAAAATGAAATAAATTAAATTAAATTACTTACAGTAAATAAAATTACACAAAAATAAATAAAAGAAAAAATAAACCAAAAACAAAATAATATCTAGTGCAAAATCATGGAATCAAGGTGGATAAAAAATCAATGATTTAAAAGTGTGAGAGCCAAAAATAATTAAATAAAAGTAAATTAATTAAAATATTTATCGGATGAAAATAAATTAATAAATATAAAATAAATAAAAAAGATATGTAAAATACATAAATAAATATAATATATGAAATAAATAAATGAAATATAACAAATGAAATGTATATAATTTTTACACACTTATATGAAAATATGAAATAAATAAAAATAAAACCACAATAAAGAAAAAACGATTCAAAATAATGCATAAAAATATATTAAAACTGAAGGAAATAATTTAAAAACATATGCTATTAAATAAAAAAATAATGTAGAAACAAACAAAAATTTAAACAAAGCAACAAAATATGTGTAAATAATTAAAAAAATATATTAAAGAAAAAGATATTTAAAAACAAAATATAAATGTAGGCAAAAATCTTTAATATATTACACAAAATACAAAATACAAAAAAAAAAAATATGAAAAAAATTCACGCACGACATGTACAAAAAAAAAATAACAATTGAAAAATATAATTTTTTATAATATTATTAAAAAAATATTAAAAAGTATATATATATAGTAATTGAAAAAATAAACTAGGAAGATATATGAAAAAAATAATTTATAAAAGAAATACTCTTTATAAGAAAGTTAAAACGTAAAAAAGCAATATAAATAAATATAGGTAATATATATAAATAATAAATAAAAAATTAAAAATCAAATTAACTATATATATGACAAAATAAAAATTAACAAAATGGCAAAAACAAACAAAAAACAATAAAATAATCAAAATCAATAAATGAGCAAATAAAAAAATAATAAAATTAATAAATGAATAAATAAACAAGTAAAAAAATTGATAGCACAAAATAAAAAACTCAAGAAAAAATAAATATGATATATAAGTAATATATAAAATAATTTAAGAAAATAGAAAAATTCAAAATGTATATATTAAAACAAAAAATTTTACCAAAAAATAAATTTAAAAAGAAGGAAACTATTAAAATATATAATATTTATATAGTTACAGTCGGCTCAGGTGATTTATCTTTTTCAGCTCAGTTTTTTTTAATTTAAAAAAGAAAATTTATAAATTAAATAAAGATTATATAGATTATAGATTATAAAAATAATAATCTATAATGTTACCAGTATTGTTACCAGTATTAAAATTTTTTTTTTATTTAATTTAAATTTAATAATGTGTTCCATCAATGTTATGACATTTTACAATTTTTTGATCAATAAGATTTAAAACTTTATAATTTTCATATTAACATATATTGACATTATTATAGTGGCAATTAATTAAAACTATAAGTAAGAAAAAAAGGATTTTAAATTTATAGACACAAAATGAAATAAAAAAATCTTCAAGATCATTTATTAAATCTAAGTAGATTTAATAAGTAGATTTACTTCACTGTTGATGTGAGACAAAATAAATTAGTCAATCATTCAGTTACAACGGTTAGTTTACGAAGATACTAGAAACAACATCGCTGTTATTGCAAATTTGTTGTATTTTGTACATATTTTTTATTTGCAGGAATTGCTTTTTATTGTTATCAACTCAAATCTGATTTATACATTGCATTGAATTTAAAGGGAAAAATATAAAAATTATCTGCAAGAAATTTAAGATATATCAATGTTTTATGGGCCCTGTATAATGATTTCAAATAATTTTATTCATTTATCGACTTAATCTGTTAAAACTAACATAACGTCTCTTTTTAATATTTGATTCGATTAATTCGAAATTGAACAACTCAATAGACAGGTAGAAGCTATCACTACAAATCCTTATTAATCAACTGATTAGGAGTAGACTTTTATAGTATATATATATTCACTTATACTCTCTATAAACATTTTGATAAACTTTATATATTTTTTATTCAATTTAATATAAAGGGTCAAAGTTAAATTGAATTATTAAAAATCCTAAGCAAAATTAAAGGGGAAAAACATATTAAGCAATTAATATAATGGTGAGATTTAATTACTTTAATAGTAGTAATTTCATTTGTGTTCCATCAAATTGTTGAACAACAAGAATCATTATAAAAAAATATCTGTTATCAAAATAAAAAAAAAATATTTACAATTATAAATTAAAAAAATTTCAAAACAATGTCTGAAACATTCTTTTTAATATTTATTTTAAAAAAATTTGAATAATGCAGTGTGAAGAAATAAGAATAATTATTGTTATTTATTATGTTAATATCTGAAATAACAAGCAATAATATGTAAATTTAGAGCAATGTATGCGCACATCCCACCCTGGCTCGCTTGCCCAATACTCAAGCCGTAACAGATGTTTTCCATTTCAACGTATGAATTTTTCATATGTGGCAAATCAAAATATTTCACATTTTTATAGCTATTTTAATAATTTCACAGCTTTATACGAAAATAGATTTGAATCTATTTTAAAATACACCGAACAGGTTCTTAAGCAATGTATAAATACGTAAATGAATTATGTTTCCTACGAAATTTCAATTAAGTGAGAACATACAGCATATAAGTGCTACTAAGCAGAAAAAAAATTAAAGCATTTTTTCTTCCACTTTGCGATACTCTACGATATTGTAATTGTTTAAGTTTGATAAAATCTTTAAAGCATAGAAAAGGGAGTTTTGTTAATAATTGTGAAGTCAAATACTGCTCATTTCAAAATACTGCATAAAATTTTCATTTAAGTATTGTATTTTATCCGAATTTTTAAATGTTGTGTGCCAGAGAATATCTGAGCGATGTCGCGCTTCTGTTGGCGCTTCAGAAATCCTATGCGAGCTTATCATGCATATAAAATTAAATTAGACTATTAGTTGCAGTCGCTTTTGAATTAATTTAAATTTTTTTTTTTTTTTTTTTTGTAATTAAATGTTATTACAAAATTTAGATAAGAATCCGTAGCGGAAGTATTAAATATAATGTGGGTGGCAATAAGTAACAATTTTGTTTAATTAAAAATATAATCACTAGTAATTTAGTAGTAAAATACAGTAAATCTATTTGAAGATTATGTGAGAACTATAAAATTCTGGTACAATTAAAATTATTAATTATTTTTATTTAGATATATAAAACCGAAAAGTAAATCAATCTTTTAATTTAACATTGAAGCAATTTAAATAATCTTTGATGAATTCATAATTATAATTACAAAGTACTTAAAAATCTTAGTTTGGATAAAATATCAAATAAATAATCCAACATTCAAATAGTGTATATGATCTTTAAAGAATTCGCAATTATAAATACAAAGTACTTAAAAATCTTAGTTTGGATAAAACATCAAATAAATAATCCAACATTTAAACAATTTAAATAATCTTTAATGAATTCGCATTTATAAGTACAAAGTACTGAAAAATCGTAGTTTGGATAAAATTAGAAATGTATATAATAAAATATAAACCATGTACAACATCATAACACATACAAAGTAAATAAATATATATTATATTGAAACTATTTTGAAAGGAACAATATTGATGTGCTCACAATTTTTCTTTCGGAAAATCCTCTTTCTTGTTTCAAGAAGAGGATTGAAAAAGTATTTAATGAACAAGAAAACAACTTTCAATTGCAATAAATTTTCAACAAGGTTATTTAATAACTTTCAATTTTAATCAAAACATTTAAATCAAAAAAAATTCGATTTCCTTTACGTAGATACTTCTCTTTTTATGAAACTTTATATAGTATACAATCTAATCTCTAACTTACCTGCCAGCATTACACTATTATTATTTTTATTGTCATGATCAACTGGAATGGACGAAACGCGTTCAGCGCGCAAACAGGCTACTGTGGTACCAGGACGACCATTTTTTCCGGAAGCTATTAATTCCACAGTCATATCCATCGATTTTTGCAATACAGCATCCATACGTATAATACCCTCAGCTAACGTTTTGTATCCTAAGATGGTGCGAGATTTATATTTTTTGCGGCGTTGCAGTAAAATCACCAGTCTGTGTGAATGAGTGCGGAAGAAAGGCAAATTGTAACCATAACGTAGGCTAATTTATTTCATTTATTTTTATATATATATTTTATTTTAATATTTTAATAGGCAAATTTTTGGTAGCATTTAAAACATGTGCAGAGAGCGTAGATTTAAAAAATAGTTATATTTCATTGAATTACACATTGAATTACACATTGAGTAGCAGCAGTAGAGCAGCGGTAGAAATTATGATTTTTTATTATTAATTTTTCATTCATTTATTTATTTATTTTTTTTTTTTTGAGAAAAGAAATAATTTTATAATTTAAATAAAATATACTTCAGTAATTAAACACAAATATGTGAGCTATGTATGTTAATGGAAAAACATCTGACTTTGAATAAAGTACGAAGAAAATGTGTAAATTATATATGTTTGACGACAATGAGTGAAATAAATTGAATGAGTTTACACTTTCAAACACATTAATATGCACGCGTTTTAAACTGATTTATAATTAACAAGCCAAAATGTAATTATAAAAGCCAATTTGAATGCACATATTGTAAATACTGTTGCACTTGCAGTCTGTTAAAATACAACAAATATATCTTCTAGCTTACACACAAATATATTTGTATGAATGTAATATACAGTGTATCACATAAATGTAGGTATGCGTATAGAGAATACGTTGTTATATGAAAAAAACAAAAAAAAAATGTATACAAACCTATTTCCATCTCTCTTAATAAAATGTGGATACTGCAAACTGAAGTGTAAATCTAATTCAGTTTCTGAGAGTGGTACATTAGCAGCAGTTCCAACACCAACACCTGCTATACCGGTACCTATGCCAGCACTACCAATGTTGCCGGGCGTACCGGGCATTAAGGTACCCATATTGCTAACAACATTGCCTGCCATTGTTGCTGAATTACTCTGTTGCAATGAGTTGATACCTGTAGAAGTCGTAGAGGTTGACTGCAACAAGCTACTGCCACTTATTGGTATCTCATGTGAACGTAACGTGCGCTTGGAACTTTGCATTTTCACCGCTAAGGACAAGGATGTCATATCTCCAGGCAATGGTGTCAATATCGATAGACGAGTTATTGTCAGTGAGCAAAGCCTAAAATAAAAAAGTAAAAATATATTTAGTCATATTTTTTTTTAAATAATAATTACAATATTACTTAATTTTCTATTTTCAGTTTCCTGATGATGACTTTAGACTAAAGTCGAAATATTGATAAAAAATAATAATTATTGTAAAATGAATTGTGTGTTCACATATGATTAGCACACATAATAGTTATTATATTATTATACGAGTCCTAGAAAATAACTAAAAAACTATTCATATCAAAATCAGATTTTTTAATTGCAGATATATATACGCATATATCATTTGAATACAATATCAAGAAATGTGTATAAAGGAGTATTCGGATTTATTTTAGGATCAAGATAGAATACTGTTGATTTATGTATTTTTAATTGAAGACCACAAATTTTGATTCTGAATGTAATTTTTAATTATATAAATTATTTTTGAAATATTACAGAAGATCAAAAAGGTCACCTAAAGCTAACGATAAAGTACAATAAAGTATAAGGAAAGCAGTTTCAACCTTAAACCCAGTAATTTGAGTTTCAACTTTTTTAGGAATGTAGACAATAGAGAAATTACTTTAAAAATATGACAAAATAGAATTGATATTATTATTATACATTTTCAATCTAATTGGGAATCCAGAAGTAATGCGAATTTGCAATAGCAGTACAATTTAACAAATGATTTTTTTAACTTATCGTATCTTAAATCAATATAGTCGTTAAATCGAATAATTTTATTAAATAAATAAATATATGGTAGTTTTTAGTATTTCAGTTATTTTTTTTTAACTATTTTTATTTTTTTTTACTTTCCTTTTATATATTTTTTATTTCAAAACAAAAAGTTGTATATTTCGTTTTATGCTCAAACCAAACTGGAACTTTGTCACTGTCATGTCCTCATAACCAAACCATGGTTATGCCCTCAGTATATTGCACGATGACAATGCCTGGACATGGACACAGTGGTGGCTAACCTCTAGAAATTAGCACCGAAAAAATAGATATAAAAATATATATTACTATGTTTATGGTCTAACTCACTCACATATAATAACTATTCCACTCAAAATAATGTAGCAAGAGATAAATAAAGTAAGAGATAAATAAAAAATTATCTAAGATTAAATAAATTAAAATAAATAAAAATAAAATATAACATAAACATCATTTGTTTCTTGAAGATATCTATTGATTTTTAATATGCTTTCTATTTTAAGTCTTGCTAAATCATGTTCTAGGTGTGATGTATATTATTTTTTATATCCTATTGTATAGAAATCTTGAGTGTTTCAGAGCAATTCTGTAAAGTATTCTGGGTGCATACTAATTTAAGCGTTAAGCGTTCCACAGCATTATTCTGGAGTATTTTAACAAGAGCAAGAGATTTTTTTATTACTTACTAATTTATTATTTCTGTAGCATTCGTTATATAGTTAGGCTTTGCTTTATCATATAAACTATTATATTATATACATTATGTATATAATAGCTTCAATTCGTTAACTTGAACATACGTCAAATTGGATACATGTCAATTTGTGCATTCGTTATATTAGACCTCTACTGTAGTTGATTTGATATGAAGTGCTACCATTTCCAAAATAAAAAAATTTAATTGTTTTTAATTTCTATTATAGCAACGTGATTTTATTACTTTTAAAATCATTGTTGTGAATCATAACAAATAATTTATTTGTTAACACGAAATATTATAATTTTTTTCAACAAACAAAACATTTATTTTGTATATTAACAACTAACAATTTATTCAAAAAAAATGTATATATAAACTTTATCTATTTATTATTGCTCTCAAACAAGATACTAATATTTTGCTAGATATATTGTTAGTCATGAATCTTTTCTACAAAAAAAAATAATTGCAAACATTTTGTTTTTTTTTTTTTTTGAAAAAAATGCAATTGCATTTATGAATCATGTAACGATTTTGTCAAGGTAATGTTAATCTTCACATAAAAAATTGATGTTGAGGAAAAAATTGCAAATCACCTTTAAATGCACATAAATATTTGCAACAATACTTGCAACATCAAAGATGGAAGAGTAATAATATAGACATTAAGATTAAGAGGTACATTCGAAAATAAAAATTTATTTCTTAAATAGTCGTTGATTACTTTATCGAAATAATTTGTTTTAAAATTACTTACATTTAAAAAAAAATTGAAAATATATTAAAATAAATTTAAAGTTGTTGATTAGTTTTGAGTTGCTTTTGTGTATGTAAAGTAATTTAAGCTCAAAACTAATTTAAGGAAAACTTTTGAAAATCTTTTTTAACTTCATTTTTTAAATACCGCGAATAGTCGTCATTAGTAACTATTCCATTTACTCAGAATTACATATATTAATAGACTGACTATATAGGTATACTATTAAATATTGTGATGTATTATAATATATTTTTTATTAATATAATAATTACTCAGATTGTTATAGTGTAAAACATGTCCCTGTTATTTTTATATCTGTAATGAATCTTATATTTACAAGTATCTCTCTTACAAACTTATTAATATCTTAAGATACTTAATTACATCGAACAATATTTTAATGGTAATATGTTTACTTCAACCTAAGATACATTTTAAAAATGTAGCTCATTTTCAGTTATCGCACTGAATTATTAGTTTCGTTACAAAACACACTAGTAACATTCAGTTTTCTTGTATACGAGTATCTTCTATTTTTATCTTGCACTTAACCATAGATGAAATATTATTTTCCGTAATATTTTTTGTCTCTTCGCAATTTTCTTGTGTTTTCCTTGCTTTTTCCTTATTACCCATATTTTTCAACAATATTTTTTACCAGGAAAAAATGTGGTAAATGTGCTTTTTCGCTATCACGTCTAATTGCGCAAAGTCGCTGGCTTCAAATTGACTTTCTTGTAGAAATTGCCAATGTTAGAGATTCGCGTCGAGTTTGGGTTTCATTTTAATGAAAGCAATCAATTTTAATTGTTTTTGAGGAGGCTTGGTATAATCGTAGCACTACTTTAAATTGCATATTTATTTGCCATATTTTACGAAACAATTTTTACTTCAGACATGGCACGTTTTCTGGTAGCAAACATTTTACGTAAAGGATTTTACTGCAATTAAAATTTGTGTGCCATGATGATATAAGCAGATTTACGGAACGAATATTGGAGTTGTTTGCGAACAGTAATCCTTTCCTGTGTACATAAAATAACGTTTTTGTTTTTCCATTACAAGCATGTTATGTAGGAACCATGAAAGCTGTTTTGATAAGGTGCAACCTTGTCATAAAAATACATTTCAGTCATGTGTGCATGACTTTTAAAAATAGTCCAAAGATAAATGTTGGAGTTCACAAGTTGAGAGTTAACACAAAAAAAAATCAATTTTGTATATTAAGCCTTTGGAAGTTCTTTATTTATAAATTTCATTTATTTTTCACATTGACATCAAAAATATTTAAAAATATGTTGATTTCATAAAGAGGTTTTTCGAACAGTAGTGAACTACAACAACAAAAATTTATTTTATATTATTTTTGTTTCGAGTATTGCAAAATACCCATCACCAGTGGTCTTGGAAATAATAATTGTATCTAATTATTCGTATATAATTTTTTGAGACTGCAAGTACAAATTATCGAACTCGTGTCCTGCCAAATTTGAAGCACAGAGTCAGCGCACCTTAACTAAGTGACACAAAGCCGTACTTAAGTAATTTGAGTAATTAAGTTTATATAAGGATTTAAGTAATCGTTATATAAACTATAATGAAAGCAAAAATTAACATTAATGAACTTTACAACTTTCAAAACCGCGCAGTTTGAATTTAGGCGTGCTGTCTACAAGATATTTGGACTGTTCAAGAGTTCCCAAACCAACCAGCGAAGACGGCTAAAAGCACTGCATTTTTAAAAGAACTTATTTTGTATGAAAAAGGCAAACTATGAGTTAGTCACAGTGTATCATTGACAGAAATGTACGTTTATGAGAACGTACGTTTAACAGAGCTTTCACTGCACTATCGAAACCAAAAAAAAAAATAATAAATCATGGTTTTACTGAACTGGGATTTTCGTATGAAAGTGTCAAGCTTTTTGGACAAGCCTAAATTAATTGGTTGAGCTTCTACTGAGAATAGTGAGCTAGATCTTTCAGGTTTGAAATAGTTAACAGACCATTGTTTATTATTTTCAAACAGTAGATTTTGAAGTAGTAGTCTTGAGTTCATTCATTATAGGTTGATGTGTTCTTAACAACAGCATTTAGTAGGGTATGTTTTACTTTGATAGTAACCTGTTGTATTGATGAAAAAGCAAAAAAAACGTACACGACTAGATTATTTACTAACTAAAGACAACAGACCAGATGAGCATAGCGCAACTTATAATCTATCACCATCATTTGATGGCTTGACCTGTTTAGAACCACAAAAGCTGCTTGCACAAGGCTTCTATAGAAAAACTCATACATCAAGAGATTGGTTTGCATATTTACTTACTGACAAATAGTAATGGCTTTATCTTGTCATGGTGATTAAAAAATTGGATAAATAATTAATGATATATGGTACCGAATGTCTACTACACTGCATTATATAGCAAATACCTTGACATGTCATGCCATTTACTCAAAACAATTTAAAGGCTTAAAATAGAGCAGTTAATCAATTTAAAGTTAATTTAAGATGTTATTTTCGAATTCATTTTTTTATATTAAAATTTCATCATATATCTGAAACAATTTTCATTTAGTACATTAGAGTTATCTTTCAGTTATACATTTTTCATTTGACAATACATAATTACAAATTTAATGATTTTATTTAGTTTTTAGATAAATTTACGTAATTTTAATCTATTCATAATGTATAAAGACCGCCTGCTGAGGTTATTGTTCCACACAATAATTACCATTCAAAGATTTGTGTTTTGTCACTCTAATCAAGTTACACCCAAGTAACAGATTGAATTACCCAACAGAATTAAGGCCCCACTTAAATACAGAAA